GAGAGAGAGAGAGAGAGAGAGAGAGAGAGAAGATTTATAGCCTTGGAAACCCTGTATTAGGTTGTTCTGAGTTGTAACCAATTTGATGACAGTGGGTTTGATGTGGGTTTTATCATCAAAGAAGGTTAAGACTTGAAGAAGATGTTTTCCAGTCCCATCTTCTCTCCCACCTATAGGGCCACCTTGGGCAACTTCTAGTCAACTTTTCAAAGCCTATCTCTAAACATGTTATCAGCGTGGTCCATTCCTATTTGGAAACAGGCTTTGAACGATGGCCATTTCTCCTGCTTTAACCTCAGAAAGAAAGGGTACCAACACCGTCACCGTGGCTCCGAACCTTGCTGGAAGCCTGAGAACACTTACAACAGCATCATGCCTGCTGGCACACAACATGTACCATGGAATCAAGTTCCACCTCTTCACCTGGCATTCCATTTCTTTGGCAAGGTCTAGGCAGAGTTGAGGAAGTACGTCTTACCGGTATTCTGCTCCCCAGCCTTTCACAAAGCTCATTCTTATGGTACACATTCTAGTGAGCTGGTACACCGCTTCAAATCCCTGATTAACAGACTGAGCCAGAAGAGCAGCAAACTCCTGGTTGTTGAAGATCTTGAGATTACAACCTATGAATTAAAGTACAGAAGTAAATAAAGGAAAAGAAACGTAAAAAACCCTACCATTGTACAATAATTTGCAAAGGGCTACAGATATTAGAAAGAGCATGCAAGTCATCGGATGATCCCTAAAATCATCAGCAACTAGAGAAGGTGAGCAAGTTGGCGCAACAGGTTAAGTCATTAGCACTGACGTGTCCGTACCTGGTGGGATCTTACACACGGTGGCAGGGTGCCAGCTGTACCTCTGGTTGCAATTGGGGCTCTGCACAAAGATCGCACTGTCACTCAGGCACTCAGCAAAAACCTCCCCACCTATGTAATACAGGCGCACTCCTCTTCCTAGAACAAAAGACACAGGGATCAGTCTTTTTACCATGCCCTTTCAGCGGGATTTTGGAAGAGTCTCTGGGGGAACTAAAACCATAGATGGCGTTTCCAAAATTCCACAGTCAAAATACGTCCTCAACATGTTTCCTTCTATATGCTGCCAAGGAACTTTTAAAAATATATATATAATTTGTAAAAACAGGTGCTTATCCTAAGTATCTAAACAATACAGGAAAGGATGAAGACAGTACAATTTTTTAAAATCCAGAAATCCCCCACCCAGACATACCTGTCATGAATCTATTTCATACCCACCTGACTACATATTCATTTAGATCTAAAGAAGTAATAGAATTTCACATAGTATATTAAAAATTATGTTTAAGTCAAAGTAACCAAATCAAACTTAAAGAATTATTGTTCAGATGAATGTGCCTCCATTACAAAAAATATTATTTCCATAAAGATACTAAAAACTCACTGCCACCGAGCTGGTTCCGGCTCACGACAACCTTCTGGGACAGGGTAGAACTGTTCCTGTGGGTTTTCGAGCCTGTCACTCTTGACAAGAGTAGAAAGTCTCCTCTTTTTCCCAGAGTGGCTGGTAGTTTTTGAACTCCTGACCTTCCAGTAAGCAAGTCATCCAACACACAACCACTGTACCACTAGGCTCCTCGCTACAGTAAAAAAAAAAAAAAAGATGCTCAGACACTAAGAGGCTAGAATCATTGCCCCTTTTGAAAGCTTATCATGACGGCAAACAAAGCCCTAGACAAGAAAAGCCTGTGTGTGGAAGATTGTAATATGCTTTGGGATTCTGACAGATGAAGCACATTAAAAAGGGGGTAGGGGGTGTGCTCAGACAAGAGTGGGAGATGAATTTTAAGAAACCAACTGCAAGAGGCAGTCCAAGAGGATGTGTGTGGTCCTCCCGCTTCCTGGAATGTGCACATGTCCTCTGATACTCATTCCAACACCACTGCTACGGGATCGTGCAGACGTAAGCAAGGTCCCCATCAAGTGACCTTAGTTAGGAAAGGGGGATTCTCTTTAAAGCGCCCGACTGAGTCAGGAGACCCTCCAAAAGGGGCGGGCAGATCCTTGTGGATGTGATTCAAGGCAAGAGTGCGAGGATTCAAGGACGGAGAGCATCTCGGGTGCTAGCTTTGAAGATGGAGGGGCACTTGTGCCTCTAAAAGCCAATCAGGAAATGAGGAACTTGGTTCTACACAACCACCAGGAAGTGGATTTTCTGTCACAACTACATGAGCTTGGAGGAGTCCCCGTGCTCCAGAGGGGGCACATTCCAGCTGACACTTGGATTTCATCCTTGGGAGAGAGTCTGAAGAGAAAGCCCGGGCAGCCCAGACCTGCACTCCCAACCCATGCACAGACTGCGAGAGAATAAGGCTGTGTGGTTTCAGCCTGCTAGGTTTTGGGCCATTTGTTACACCAATCACAGAGGGAAATAACCTGATAAAACAACCAACAAGCCAGGCTTAACAGATAAATACAGAATCTGCTGACCATATTAAGCCACAGGTTTTACAAGACTATGGAAGATTTCCGAAACATTAATCAGGTACTTGGGCATCAAGTCTACAAACTAGAAGTCAAAAGTGAAAACACAGGGACCACAGGTTTCATAGTGAGAAGGGACAGCACAAAGACACTCCCCGTCCCCCACATTGCCAACAGAGCCCCAAGTTAAAGCACGGAGGAGGGAAGGGAAGGCTGGCTCAAGGCTGCCACTGGCTGCAAAGACCTTGCTGGGTTGCTCAAACGCGGTTTTCCAAATCGTACACATCAAGCAAAATGCGGGAGCTCCGAGCTCATGCAGCCAAGGGACCTGGCCCACTCCCTGGCACTCTGCAGGGCCACAGCTAGGCCATGCCCAGGAAACTGCCACCCCAGCATAAAAGCCCCTTCAAAGCACGGTCAGTAGGATTTCTCATGTGCGGTGATGGCTAATTAAGGGAACAAAAGCACACTTCTGTTAAGAAGCTTCTGAGAACGCGGATGTGGAGGTTTCCTACAGGAATTTGTCACAAGATATAAAACTCTACTTTTAACAATTCACTTCAAAAATCAAAATAAGCCTATCGTACGTTGACATACACAGTGTGCTTATGAAAAACAAATGTATTTTCCACACACAAAATAGACATAAGTAAAACTGAGAAGGAAGATAATGTTTCCCACTTTGGGAAATTTCTTCAGTCACTGTCTGTCTGGCTTCATGGTGGAGGGCTGGGTTCTCTGTATCAGCTTCTCCATACAGTCTCTTGCAAACCCCTATATCAGGTGGCCTCAAGAAATACCTCACTTTCCACTCAAGAAAGTCCAAGTGAAAAGATGCACAAATGCACACATCTTGGTATCGTTCGGAAAACAGTGCTGACCGAGCCGAGGGAACACAAATGCCGCAGGGACTCCCAGAGCAGGCCCCGCCCAACCCCCATCATTTGATTTTTGAGATCACTTTGATGATCTTTTAAATGATGTTATATAGTAATTCTTCTCCTGTTAGGCAACTTACCTCAGATTAAAGTTAGAGTTGATTGACAAGGATTAGTTAACTAAAGAGGGGGTGGGAGTGATCGGTAACAACCCAGGTGACAGAAAACAAAGCAAAAAAAGTTTTCTTACTTTGTTTGTATGTTTACTCCCAAATTGGCACAAGGCAATTCTGTGACCAGTAAAGGACCTTCCATACTGAAGGATAGGTTGAAGGTGCGGATTTAAGGACTTAGGGGCGCCAGGATCTACTAAGAGCAGTGAAGCCTGGGCACTTCACTGGATCGCGAAAATTCAGCTGACAGGGAGAGAAGACGGGATTGATTGCCTGCAGAACATCTCTGGCTGGGGCAACACCTCAACATGCCCACACACATCTGAGTGCATGGCACTAGGCTCAAAAGTGCAGACAGGATCATCTGGGGAAATGGCTAGCAGAAACACACAGCAGCCCACCAATGTTTGACTCACACAAGGGAAAGGGAACGTACCTATATGCCTTCTTGTCATTTCTACGGTAGCATTTCGGTTGACGTTGGAGAGTAACCCTAAGCAGAACCTCTCCGAGTTGGAAGGGTCTGTAAAGCCATCTACAGTGAGTGAGGGCTGTGAGGCATGGAAGGTCTCTCCAACCCTCTGGTTTAACTCATAATACGCTATGGAACACCAAAATGCAGGCTCTGAGTAAGTAACTGGTTGCAAATCTGAAAATAAGACAGAAAAGCATTTAAAAAAAAAAGTTGTGTGAACAACTCAAGCCAAGAACAGAGAAAATATTGTCACGTGCTCTGTGCCCGTCTAAAGGACAACAGCACAGGAAGTGCACTTAACATCTGCATCACGGACTCGTGTTCACAGGTCACACCACAGCTTCAGCGCTTCAAATTTCCCCATCTCAGCATGTCATCCAATCATCAAACATCTTTTCTAGACTTTACAACAGACCACTTGCTCGGCCTGTAGGTATAGTCCAGAACCTGTTCAAATATCAAATCACCGTAGGCAACGTGAACCAATGGGCTACTTCGCCTAACGTTATGAATTTCTAAATCACAGGATACAGCTATTTTGGAAAAAATAAATTGGAATCCGGCTGGGACAAAGAATAGAGTGAGAGAAATGAGTCAAAAACCACAAAAATAAAAAAATTCTGTATTAGAATAAGAGGATACAAAATATGACACATTTGTAACATTTGTCTATTTTAACAGGAGATTCTAGGTGTTACCCCAATTCAGAAAATAGAAAGCCCTCACATACTTTAAGAATCAGAAAACAGCACAACAAGGAGAGTTTTTGCAGGTGGAAATAAAAAATGGGAACAGTTTACATACATCATGGGAAAACTATGATGACGTTTATGTAATTTCTGTAATTACAGAATAAAATACATTGTAGAGAATGTCATAAAGAAAGAAAATCGACAAGCTTGTAAAAGAAATTCCAGACATTTCAATCTCAAAGGACTTGTGAAATAACTAAAGTAAAATGAGGGACAAGAATAAAGTACAAAAATGAACATAGGCACACAGAAATGTATACAAAAAACGTACATATACATAATAATCAAAGTATAGGTCCCTTAATATAAACATCTGCTCGTGTGTTATATCTTTATATTTGCATATTTTATATTTACAGTTATACATATACCTCTTACATTAAGAATTGTTACAAAAACATACCATAAAATGAATACACCTGTGTCAATATAGAGCAAATTAGGACAAAAATTTTCCACTGATAAAGAATGTGATTTTCAAAAGCTTAAAAAAATATTCACTGGTTTCTTGCTCTCCTACATGCCAGTAGAAGTTTCAGTAGCACCGACATTTATTAGTATCTTTGGGAAAAACAATAATTTAAGCCATGTGAGCCATTATCTCACTATTCATTGGAAGTCTTCTCTCGTGTATTTGAAAATAACCGCCAGGGGGAATCTTTCATGACGTAAAGGACGCAGTGGTACAAACAGTCACAGAAATAGCGTGTGTGCGCAACTTACCCAAGCTATGATTGACGGGGGACAGAGCCGAGGGAGACAGCTCCGCTGGAGAGCCTGGAACAAAAGGGTTAGATTTCATGATCAAGGTTGCCGTAGCTCCAGAAAGTCTGACCACATAATGAAGTTGGTGGTGCTTCATTATAACTGATGATCCTTAGTTGACACGGTAGAAAACAGATCATCTAAAATCCAGAGAATTCCAGTGTATTTTAATTTTGGAGGCTTCGGTAACTGAAAGGTGTGGAAGGGCCTAGAGAGCCCAGCCTTCTGCACCCCTTCCGCCACCACACCATGTGCATCCTGTATGTTTCTTGCTTACTTTGTAACTGCAGCGTGTGACAGTCTGGACTCCACCTTCCAGTTGTCTGCCCCAAGAAACAATCCTGGACAGACAAACTGCCAGTTCCACCAACTTTCAAGCATGTGTGCAGGATAAACTACTAAAAGAGGACCTGCCAGATCAAAAGGTTTGTGCACCTGCAATTTTGGTAGATTTTGCGAGTCACCCACAAGGGTGGTACCAGTTTATACTCCCTCGGGAACGTGAGTGGTACAGGGATGCTCACAGCATTATTGCATGCAGGCGAAATCAGGATCTCTTAATAAATGGGGTTTTAATGATATGAAAGGTCAAAATATATCTGAAGCAGCAGGTGAATCAAGGGATGGGATGCAAACGACAAAGTGCAAATGCACCAGCTTCTCCTAGGGAGAGTGGTGAAGCTCTCTGCTCTCATAAGGATGGAAAACTGTAGAAATATCAGGGAGGAGTTTTACAATGTCCTACAGGATCGCTGTGAGCTATCATCGACTTAAAGAGCAAAGCATCTCTGTGAATCGTCTGCTCTTTTGTAGGAGGCTCTTTATGCATTAGAGTTACTAGCCCTTTCCTGGGACAGTTGCGAACATTTGATCATCTGTCTTAAGACTGCTTAGTCATAATTCGAATCATGTACCATTATTAAATATAAATGTTGACTGTCTACATGATAAATGTTGACTGTTGAGACAGCTCGAGCTTTTGCAAAAAGTTTCTAAAAAATTATATTTTCTTAAACAGTGACCTATTCTGTCCAGTTTGGGATAAATAGGCTAGTCCAATCAAGAAAATAGGGCAGAAATAGCATAAACAAATAAACCAAGGAAAAAGAGGAAACAATCAGACCATGAAGACACACACCATTATGACCATGAGCTAAAATAAAAAGCAACCAAGGTCGAATGGCAGTGACCAAAAAAACAGATAAATCAGAAGGCGAACAGGCGAGAATTATTCTTTTAGAAGGCACAACAGTCTTTCACTGTACGGGTAAGTTCTTTACGGTGCTTGTTTATTTTTGCTCCTAAGTTTGACAAATCTGTTGGCAAGTCACAACAGGTACAATTAAGAAAGGTCAAAATATATTTAGAACAATGAACTAAAACTCTGTTTCCTGAAGTAGATATAAAATAAACAAAGCCACTATTCAAAATGGAGGCAGTTGTCCAACTATTCCTATCTTTTAATTAGAGTTATTCATATTTCAAAACAGTTGTCTATTAAATACTTATCAGAAATGACCAGAAAGTCGGCGGGGGTGGGGGGGTGTCCTAGTTGGTACAGACTTGTCAAAAATTGGTTGAATATGGTAAAAAATTAAACTGTAGATTATTTTAAAAATAAAAGTTCATCATGATCATACATAAAATAATTACACTATTAGGTAACAAAAGCTTTTAGAAAACATTTTCTTTAATTCAGGGGCCAAGAAATTTATAATCTATTAATTATTCATATATAAATGGTGCTATTGAAGTCTGGCAGCCATGAGACTTCCAGTTATGAGACGTAATAACATCCTCGCTCTTAACTCCTGTTTGGGTCAGCGGTTTCTGTTACTAGCAGCTAAAACACGGAGAATAAATGTGTCCTTCGTGAATGTATCTGTGGACACAGTTCATATACATTCATAGGACAAGTTTTCCAACGATGAAATGTTATAGCAAAAAGAATGTGTGAAATTCTTTTATGTGCCACCGTGCCTTCCCAAAGTGTTTCATCCCCTCCACAACCTGCAAGCTAGTGGCCCCTGTCCCCTCACTGTGCACATTCTCAATGTGGCTGACACTTGTGACCGTGCTGTGCTCATTGTAAGCCGTGCGTGCTACTCCTCTTTCCATCTTTCTACTGCCATTCGTGTCTTCTTCCTCCTGACTTACTGGAAGAAGTTTTAAATACAGAAATCAGAAGTACATCATTCATTTCCAAGTGTTTCTCACGGGTTCTTGGTCTGTTGGGGTCTATCTTTGCAGGTAACATTTTAAATATTATTTATTACAATGTATCGGTTTTTCCTCCTACATCTTTGTTGTATATATTTCTTACTAAAAAAAAAAACCTTAGTGTCGTATCTTAGAAGTTGTAGGGTTTCATATTTACATTAAGTGTGTACTTCAAATGGAAATGAGGTAAGAGTTAAAAGTAAGTTTACTAAGAAAATTAATAAAGAAATAGATATTGCCCTCTACGTTCTAGCACACTAACCCAACAAAAAACACAATTCAAACTAAAAATAAGAATAACTTTGAAAACGTGCACAGAGTAAAGGGCTAAAGACCCGAAGTCATATACAACTGTCTCCCTTGCTTTCACTAGTAATACTCCAGAGGACTAAAAGCACTGTTCCCAAAATGGCTTTAGCTATATGCTTTACAATATCTAATGTACAGTATCTAAGGTACAGACCAATCGTTTTCACAGACCTTCCAGAAAACTGAGAATCAGGCTGGGTTCTGCCTTCCGTTTCAACCCTATGCAATCGCCTGCCCAAGAAATCAATCTCCATTTCCAACTGCCATCCGAAAGCAGCCAGGGGCCATCTAGAGCAGTAGCAAGAAAGGCTACGCAGAGCCCGATGCTAGGCGTGAATCCTTCTGTCACTTTCTACTTATTTTTCTGTGACACAAATTGCATTGCAAGGTTTTGTTAGATAAATGGGCAACCCTCTCAAAGCAAAACGATAATTACTACTAAGTGATAAAATTACATGTAGTGCTTACATTTTTTCCCCTCACCCAACTCTTCTAATTCTTACAATGAACATCCATTTCTTGTGTACTTCAAAATTTTACCTGTACAATACTCTTCAATTTTTTATTTGGCTTAGAAGAGTGGCAAAAATATGAGGCTATGAGAAAATAGGATATAACATTACATGCAACGTGTCTATAAAGGAATCTGCAAAAAGAGTGGAAGACGCATGTATGGCAATTGAAGTTTAAAAACATACAATTTATGATCGTTTTTCTTATTTCTTTATGCTGTATACAATTCCATATTTTCTGTGAGCACAAATTTTATTCTACATGAGAAGGAAGAGTTTCTTTTCTGGTTTTTCAAAACAGAACTCTTAATGTATGGTTAGAAAATAGACTGGTAAAGCCCTTACTATCAGAATACAAAATAAAACCACAACAACCAACCTAATGTTTTGAAAAAGTTTATCCGAGAGCTGTGGGTACAAATCATTACAAATTTACTAATTTACCCAGAGGGATGAACTCTGGGTCAGCAGAGAGTCATACTGGTCTCCCTGGGAGCATGTGCTACTCAAACGGCAAATGTATTGCCATTAAGTTGATTCTGCCCCTATAGGTCAGGGGGAACCTGCTCCACAGAATTTCCAAGACTGCAAATCCTTACAGGAGCAGACAGACTCATCTTTCTCCTGAGGAAAGTGTGGTGGGCTCAAACCACTGACCTTGTGGTCCACAGCCCAATGGTTAACACACTGTACCACCAGGGGCTCAGTGTGCCAAGCCAGGGCACATACAAGCTAAGGAGAGGAGTTGCCACAGGAGAAACAACTGACATGGTCGGGGCTGGGGGCATACTGGCAATGAGGCTCTGAGAAGCCCCCATCAGAAAGCTTCACCAGCCAACTCTGATCTACAGGTCTGCAGCTGCACGCATGGCAGCATCAATGAGTTTGGGGCCGGTCTGAAGAGTCGCGAGGTACCTTGCTATCTCACAAGACTCATAGCTATACCTTCCAGAAAGATGAAGTGATCTGACAGAACTAAAGCAATGAGTCACCACCTATCCACTCAGGTCCACACTCCTCACGACCTCACAGACTGGACCTCAACCAACTTGGCAGCCAGGGTCCTTCTCAGGGAAAAGATCACCCTCTCCTGTATTTCACACACAACGTCTGGTGTCCAATGACAAAGTAGGGAAACTGACTCACCATCAAGAAAACAAATAATCAGTGGAAGCAGATCTACATATGAACCAGGCACCAGAATTAGCAAGTAAAGACGGTTAAATGGAGATTGCCAAACAGAAATACAGAAAAATCTGAAATGAAGAACTCATTAAAAGGGGCTTCACAGCAAACCAAAAGTTACACCTACATATGTACTTTGTTCTCAATAAAGGAGAAAAAGGCATTTTAATGGAGAAAGGACAATCCTGTCAACAAATGGTGAAAGATATTTATGAAAGACATCTGTAATTTAGAACTCATCAACAAGTTCAAGGAGCAGTGAAAAGCTGGTGCACATCCCTTAGTTTAAAACTATTACGAAAACATGTCTTTGGGCTAATTATGGTCTTTGAGCCAAAAGAAACATCTATTACTAGAATAACTAAGACCTTAAATTGAAATATACTTAAATAGAAATAGTCATTCTGTGTTCTCAATTCTTCATTTACTCTAAAGAGAAAGCTCTAACCATTATCCCACAGAATAGCATTTGCTATTGTTTTTCAATTAGAACATGCAGTAATCACAATGGCTAATGGGCTTTATGGATGAGTGATTAGGAGATAAGAGATCAAGACAGAAGATTAAGGTTTTGTGGTTTCTGTTTGAATGTTTCTCTACAATGAACTGGAATGGTAAAGCAAGACATGTCTAATTACTAAGGAGTCAGAATATTTTACCTGTGTCCATACTTTGGTTCAACTGTTGGTCACTTGTTTCTCCATCTTCACTAATATACCCAGGAGGTGGTGTTTCTACAAAGTTTAAAACAAGAAAAGTAAAATTAATCTCACCATTTTTCTCCCAAAGACAGAATCCTCTAAACATCCCAATAAAAAATAAGGACATTATACATTGTTATATATTTTTAAGTCTTGTACACTTAAGAGCTTCGGATTCTGGTGGTCTAATCGGCATCTTACAGGCCAAGCCTTAAGACCTCCTTACAATACAATCAAACTCTCTGAGCATACCTTCCTAAAATCGTTCACATTCACTGGCTAATTCCCAGATGTACGTTTTCTGGGGTAAGAGCCAAAGTACAGCTTCAAAGACGCCTCAGTTCTGAATCAGTACACTTCAAAGCATCAGGGCCTCCAATGCTTCCTTACACTGATGGACTTCGCCGTGGGTACTTAGATGATTAAAGGACACACAACACACACGTGGTTTCAGATTATGAGAATGATACATGCAACAGGCTACACTATGTTTACAAGGCAAAGGAAGGTAAAATGGTTCAGGACTAGTTTAGCCTGCATCTCCTAACTATATTTTTCCTATGAATTTCTAAAGTTCTTCCTCAAAACCACATATCACTGGTTTTGCTTCTCTATAGCCCAGCATTAAAAAAGGGGCCCTATTTAACTCAACCTGTTTTCAAGGTTCATACATGTTCTGGTGTGTACAGTACGTAATTTCTCTATCTGGCCGAGTACCAGCCCATTCTGTTTATGCATTCATCTGCTACTGGACCACTGGGCTGCTTCCATTAGTCTACTACGAATGCCGCGCCATGAACGCGGGGGCACTCGTTCCTGCTACAGTCCTTGCTTTCGCATCTTTGGGGCATACATCTAGGAAAATTGCTGGATGATGTTCATTCTATGTTTAACTTTCGGAGGAACTGTCCACTCCTTCAGAAGGCGTCCTGGGGATGTTGTGGGTTATGCATGCACTGACTGGGCTGCTAACCACACCCTCCCAGCATCCCTAGGGGAGAACAGGTTATCGTCTTGCAGACCCCCAGGCGTGGTTGTACTCTGCCTCTAGGGTTGCCATGAGCCAGAAGCAACTCAATGGCAACGAGTTTAGTTTGGTTTGGGGGCAACTATTTTTTTCCACAGTGGCTGTACCATTTTAAGTACTAAAGCTTTCAATACTGAAAATCTGTGCATAAACTACTTTCACATAGTTAAACAATAAAGCACACAGAAATAAGAATTGTAATGCATATCCCCGAGCACGGTTTTTAAGGCTAACATTAATACAATTAAATAGAACCAGGTTATCCTAATGTCCTTCTTTAGCTTTTCTCTATTATTATTTATTTATAAAACAAAACAATACTATTAACATTTTGGAGAAAACGTTAACATTTCTTCTGAAATGAAAGACGACAGACCCTGAAGTCTCGTTGTCTAGTCAGCGTGCACAACTACGCTGACACATTATAAACTGTTTAACCTGTTAGCTCTGGTGGGTTATGAACTTTATTACATAAAAACCGGAAGTTTTCATAGCTGCGTTATGTATAGTATGTCAAAACCTTCTGTCCATCATTGTGATTAGCTAAATTGTCCAGAAAAGCAAATAGGTATAATCAACTTTTGAAATTTCATTTTATAAAATACTCAAACCTACACACATAAAGGATTAAAGAAAGAAAAATCCTGCACAAACATTTCCACAAGTACACACCATTAAACATTCGATTGACAACCTTCCAAATAATTACTGGGCATGCCTTACAAGCCTGTACACTTACACTTGTAAGTATACCGTATGCTGTCACAGTATAATATGAATTCCCACCTTGTCTGGGGTAAATCTGCACAAGACCTCTTTAACGTGTTGAGCAACAAGGATGTCACCTTGAGGATTCAGTCGCACCAGACTCAAGCAAGCATGGCACTTTCAGCTGCGTCACATGCATGTGAAAGCTGGGTTTTGAATAAGGGAGGCCACAAAAGAATCGATGCGTTTCCATCCTGATGCTGCTGGAAACACTGAGAGTCCCATGGACTGCCCAAAGAACACACACTCCCATCTTGGAAGAAGTACAGCCAGACTGCTCCTTGCACGTGACACGGGTAAGACTCTGTCTCACGAATCCTGCACATGTGGTCAAGCGGGACCAGTGCCGGGAGAAGCACGTCGTGTTTATTAAAGCGGAGGGGCAGCAAGAAGAGGGAGCCCCGCAAGGAAATGGACTGACACGGTGTCTGCAACCATGGGTTCACGTAGAACAGTAACTGTGAGGATGGTGCAGGAACAGGTGGTGTTTCACTCTGTTGTACATATGGTTGCTCTGAGTCGGAATGACTCTTCAGCACCCAGTAACAACAATAAAACGCCCACTTCAAAGATACCCACATGCCCGCTCCCCACACTGCACACACACGTAACTCACTGGGGGAAGGCCAACAGCTTCTACCTCAGAAATGCTTTCCTTGGTCTGCAGTCCTGCTTCCTGCCTCCCACACCTTTCCTCTTAACTTCTCAAAGGGCAGCCTCGTTGGGCATAAAATTATCATCTGAGAAATGCACATTAAATCGACCAGAAACCACAGATTATCTGTCACATTAGCTACTTTAAAAATTATATATCTTCTTTTCCAGTTTGTAAAATCATCTTCCGTAAGCAAAACATTATTTCTACAAGGGAACATATGAAAAGAAATAATAGTTCTTAAGCACTTAAAAATCTTAGTTTCTTACATATTTTCTGATGCATTTTAAAAACCTGAATGGGAGAGGAAACATTGACAATAACAAAAAATACAACTTATACTTGAATCTTTGTCCTACTACTCTTACCCCCCCCTTAGTTTCTATTAGGAAAAAAACAGCAAAAAGAGAGCCACACAAAGAAAATATTGGTTGGTTCTTCTAAAAATAGTGAAAACTAAATGGGCAGCTACTAAATCATGGAATACTAACTGGATCACACAATGCTGGAGTTTGAGGCGGTATCTCAGAACCAGCTAGTCAAAATAATCATTTTTCTTATCAGTAATTACTGGCGCCCAGATGTAACAGAAGTAGAAAAAGAGGTCTCCTGCTCTTCAGTTCAATGTTTCAGTGCGGTTACACCTAAAGAACTACAACACTGCATTCGATTCTCCTGTGGAAACACTACTTTTCCCTGAAACAGAAGCAAACCATCCGAGAGAGGCAGCCATTGGTCCACCTGATGTGACCTGTGCTTCAGCAACCCTTTCCCTGTACCACAAGCTTGGCTTACATGCTGTATGTCTTTCAGCATCGACACCTAAGACAAACTCACTTAGGTATTTTCTTTTCTGCTCTTCACAGCAGCTTGATTAAAGCCACCGCAAACGAAAATGAAACCACTTTCATCAGGGCAAAAAAACGGTCAAAGCACTATGCAAATTCCTTCCACAAAGCAGCAGCCAACAAGTCAGATTCTTCTCTTCTCCAGCCAGCGTTTTAGAAAAAAGCAAACCTTCAATTCACTAAGACGTGAACATTTAGGAACAACACTGGTGTCTACCCAAGCTCAGAAGGCAAACAAGTACCTGGGATGTAATTACTCTGTGGCTCAATGCCTGCTGGGAAATTAGTGTTTTCTGGAATGGAGTGGGTGTAGTCATCCAGAGGCGGGAGTTCTGTTAAGATCTCAGTGTGCCGTGGCACCAACACTGGAGGCAGAACTGAAAGAGCAAAATAAATCATAGTTAACAGCAACGAAAGGAGCAAGAGAAGTTTTCATCACAATGAAAGAAAAACCTAAAACAAAACAAAAAGGCTAATTTTTAACATCTCCGTCCCTCTGGAGTCAAGCCCTCAGTGGTCCAAACAGTGAACAAGCTAAGTGAATGGTAGGAGACTTGAGTCCACCCACTTTCTTTCAAAAAGCCCACCACCGAAACTCTCTCTGAACAAAGCGCCACCCCTCCCCGCCTCCACCCCACTCACCAGGGTCACCCTGGGTCAGAAGCAAGCGGGCAGCAATGACTTTGAGTCTACTTGTTAATGTTATGCTAGTACTAGGAGATGGGCACATGCATTTCAGATTTTTCAGGACAATGTATACCTGGCAATATTATATTACCATAAAAGTTCCTAAGCCTATCCACCTTGGGAAAAGTTGAAGAAATTAAAGACTTGCCTGAATTTGTAAAAACCAGGTATATATACATTAAAACCGTGTTTAAGCAAACCGTATCTTGCTGTCCACTCTACTAAACTGCTTATAAACCAATGACATCATTCAAGTGCTTCTAAAAGCATCCAGAGGGCAGAGGCTCAGAGACAGCTCCAGCATGGACACAGCACAGGGGGCTGTCAGTTCAGTTCCAGATGACAGATCTGTAGCATCAGTATTTCCTGGATACATATCTTGTAAGTAGTGTGAATAGAAACATCTTCTAAGTTTTTCTATTAAAAAAATCCATCTAAATAAAAATGTGTTAATTACCACCAATTAATGTACTGAATTGAAGCTGCCTTGTTTGAATTTTACAGTGAAATTTCTATACATCATGAGAGTACTCAAGATACACTTAAACCTAAACTACAATGTCCCTACCTGGTGTCTCAACTCTTTGATAGTGGTAAGGGTTCACACACACTTCATCCTTTTTAAGATGAAAAGCATATTCGCAGTTTTCGATTGCTTTGAGTTCGTGATGGCTGTGAAGATCCGGCCAGCGCCATAAGCGGCAGTAGATGACATGTGGCAATCCTTTTCGATGAGACACCTGAAGGCGACCATCGAGAGACCTAGAGGGGCAAAGAGGGAGAGAGAAAAGGGAGCTGTAACAACCATGCGTGTAGCCCAATGGGTTACACATCATACACGAAGAGCCGAAGGGAAGGAGTGACAGACATTCAGTTAGTCTGAGGGAAAATAAAGGGGGACGTGTACTGTTTAATGGGTCTCAGCTAAAAACAAGCAGCCGAGCTCGCAGAAGCTTCTGTCAATATGCTAGGTAGGGGACTCAATGTCAATGAATGGCTAACCACTGGGGAAAAAAGCTGGTTTGGAGAAGAGTATGCAGCTAAGACTTGAAAAACGATTTTGGTAACTTCTATTTTAGTAAATCGAACTCTGACTTAGAGAAGCTTTTTAAGGGCATTAACTGCGGGTGGCTGAATTATCAAAAAAAGGAACTAATGTAAAGAATGGCAAATACCAACAATGACGTGACAACAGCTTGCTCGGTTCAAATGTAACGCACTACCCAGCTGTGACTGTTTGCAGTCCTGAGGTCTACTAATGTGGCTCACACGTAAGTGCAGATGGCAACGACTAGGATGAGATGCAATGGACAAACACAGACGTGCTCAAAAAGAGAAAAAAAGATGATGAAGGAAAAAAGGATAACGTGAAAACAAGTTAGCCTAGCATCAACTGTGACAGAAGGGGCTCAGTAGCTAACGTCATATATGTATTAGTGCACAGAGGATGAGATTTAGATAACAGCAAGAAATTTAGAGCAAACTGGATACGTTAAGTACTTCTTAAAAAGGCCAGTAAGAGGCCATAATCGAGTCTCAAACGGAGTGTACAGTTATCAAAGGTCCTGTTCTTTAGGAGAAGCAGTGATTTAAAGACTCAAAATAAGAATTTCATGGATCAAAACATCGGCTGAAACATTTTATATAATTTTAATACTGGCAAGCAGCTATTTTACATGCTATGCCATAATTTACATAAAGGAAACATCTTAGGCAGAAATGATACTAAGCAACCCACTGGAGATCCTCCAAACCCCCCCTCCCACAGGCTCCAGGGTGGGAGCGAGGGCAGAATATTCACCTGGTTTGTTCAGAGAAGCTGTAAAGGCCTGTTGTGTCCCACTGATCTAGCGTATTTGGTGTACTCAGTCCCCAAATTTCAGAGCAAGTGCTGTGCATAAATTGAAAAACAAAAAATTGATGTGAACATGGAAGCATGGTTATTCAAAATACCATGATGTAAACATGGAAAATGTACAGAATACTTCCTTCACCCAGAAAATATACACTGCTTCGCTTTTCCACAGACATTTCGTGGTGCTACTAACTATATTTTCTATATGAAGGAAGCCAATAAAATGGAACATGTGACTCTAAGTAAGTTATGATTATGTTTTTAAAATGTGAACACCAATGTTCTCTGGCTAATGAAATCAGAGCTATCATGCCCTGTCCAATTTCCTCTCCTGGAAACAAAAGCACTAACAAACACCCAGGTTGTCAGATGTAATAACAGAGTTTCACTTATTAAACCCAGCTTTTTCAGTATAAAAACCCAGTTTTTTTGCTTTTAAAAAAAATCAACTTAAACTAGATATAGACGTGCAGTTAAGGTTTTTGGTTTATTTGGGCAAGTTACTTACATACATAATTTTATCAGAAAGTCATCATTATTGTTCATCAGAAAAAGGACAACAAGTATGGTGTAATCATTATAATACAGAAAAACTATTTAAAGGTTTTAAAAATTGCGGATTAAACAAAATATGTAAAAGTAGTTAATTTCCTAAAATAAAACTTACAATGTGAGAATAGATACATTTATAATCAGTAACAACTGAAAAACCAAGACCAAAAGACCTCAACATTTTTCTTCCACATTTCTTTCCCAAACATGGGTAACCCTGAAAATAAGTCTCCCAACTTTTCCTGCAGTGATCCCATTTCAAAGTAACTTCTAGCCTCTGGGAGAAGGGAAGAGAAAACTTCAAGGCAACTTGCAAAGGCACTTTGGACACCCCAGATATTTCAGATCGTTTGTAATTCTTAAGAGTTAAAAAGAACAATCATGTATAATTGGTCAAGGATTCACAAGGGTGGGAGGGTAGGGGAAAAAGAGCAGATACCAAGGGCTTAAGTAGAAAGAAAATGTTTTGGAAATGTTGATGGAAACATATGCACGTGTGTTTAATACAACTGAATGATGGATCGTTGTAAGATTTATTAGAGACCCCCAATAAAATGATTAATAATAAATAAATAAATGTACATATTCATGGACACTCCCCCAAATGTTAAAAGATAATTTCTCTGAAACTCAGTTACATTTCTCATATATTACCAGAATTTCAAAGAGGGAGGGGACATTTTTTAAAAGTCTGAAAATGAAAGCAACAACCAATTAAATGCCAAATGCATAAACTGCTCGCGATCTGACTGAACCAAGCTTTCAAACAAGGAGGGAAAGTGCAGGCAGGTGAGAGGGATGAGCCCTGGCAGTGCAGTGGACTAAGCACCCGGCTGCTGCCCAGGAGGTCGGCAGACAGAGCCTACCAGCTGCGGGCGAAGATAAAGCCGTCTGCTCTCTCAGAAGCCCAGCCAACACTTCCATTCTTCCGAGGGGTCACCGTGAGTCAGAATAGACTTGCCGGCCTTGCTTTTGCTTTAGGAACAGTTGCTTATAATACTAATGAGTTTTTAAAGGCCTGTTTAGAAACCTTCTAGCACGTCCTTGAGATATTTTTATAAACCAGTTTTTAAGCTACAGTTCATCTTTCACTTACCATACCACAAAAGTCAGAAAGAGCCAAGAAACTAGAAGATAACGAAGACCTTTTCTTTATTTTCATGACATAAAATGTTTTTATTTCAAAATGTTTATCAATTATCTATGAGAAACAGCACGTTATTTACATCTTAGGGCTAAGTTAAACCTAATGTTTTAACAAAACTCTCTATCAAGAGGCTATTTATTCTGCTTTTAAGACAAGAGTAAGAACATTTCACTCAAGAAACTCTGGGACTAACAAGAGAACCAGAATACGTGAGGTCATAAGGAGCACATGCTGTCTCTTATTCAAACCTTGGAAGGAATCAGAAAAGAGTAAGTGGTGACTGAGAACATATTCTAACATATTCAACCACTGTCCTACTGCTGCCATTAATTTCATGTGTGTAAGCCTCACTTCTCTCATTTATGAATACTTCCTGCATAAAACTGTAATACTGAATGTAAATCCATCAAACACTCATGCTAAAGGACAGAGATTTGTCAGAATGAATACAGAATGAGAAATGTCTACCAAATACTACTTCACTATAAAAGGGGAGATAACTTCTGAAATAAGACTTCAAAAATAAAAATATTAATCAGCTATATTCACCTGAAGAAAAAAAATTAAAAAAAAAAAAAAAAATCACAAGATAATCCTGTATGTACCTACAAACAGTTTTAAAATACCTGACAGACTTAAGTGGACTATGAACAATTCAGAAATCAGAGTAATCTCAGTAAC